AAATAGAAACATCGATGAGAGAGAATCATCAACCAGCTGCCTCTTGCACACCCCCTACTGGGGATGTGCCCACAACCAATGTACATGCCCTTGACCGGAATCGAACCTGGAACCTTTCAGTCCGCAGGCTGATGCATTATCCACAGAGCCAAACCGGTTTCGGCTTAATGTGCTTTTGAGAGAATCATTGATTGGCTGACTCCTGCATACCCCACCCTGGGGATTGAGCCCACAGCCAGGACATGTGCCCTGACCGGGAATCGAACTGTGACCTCCTGGTTCATAGATCCATGCTCAACCACTGAGCCATTCCAGCCAGGCTCTCTCTCCCTTAATTTTATTTTTTAATAAATCTTTATTGTTCATATTATTATAAATGTTCCTCATTTTTCCCCACTCCACCAAGTTCCCACCCCACCCTCTGCCCTTTCCCCACCCCCCACTGTCCTCATCCATAGGTACACAGTTTATGTTCATTCTCTTCCCACACCCCCCACTCCTCTTTTCCCTGAGAATTGTCAGTCCACTCCCCTTCCGTACCTCTGATTCTATTATATTCACCAGTTAATATTGTTCATCAGGTTTTTTAATTCCTTTGGTTTTTAGATTCACTTGTTGATATTTGTTGTTCATAATTTTTATCTTTATTTTCTTCCTCTTCCTTAATGTGTTTTTGATTTATTCCTCCTAATTAAAGATTAAAAAGTCTTTACATTTTGGAATGCAAAGATTTTTAACAGCAAAAAAAAGGAAGTGAGACATTTACATAAATGAATACCTAATACTACTCTGAAGTTATTTATCTGCTGAAATAAATTATATTTTTCCATTCAAATAAATGAAAAAAGAAATACTGACCAAAAGACTTACTACTTATTAGACATTGATATTTTTCACCAGAAATATAGAGGATCCTTAGAGTTCTGACAGCTTTGGTTTTGAGATTTTATAGACCTTTTCTGAACTGATGCAATAAGTTTTTACATTGGGAAGATAAACCTCAGTACTTAAGTTCCTGAGTTTTGACTGCCTAAATTTGAGTTCTGGCTCCTCCACTTATTATTCATGGGATTGTGGGCAAGTTACTTAGCATCTTTCTGCTTCAGGTTTCTCACTAAAATGGACATAGTAATAACACCTTCCCCATAGGGTGCTGTGAGGATGAAATGAGTTCATACCTGTAAAATGCTTAGAACAATGCCTGGCACATAGATTGTGCATTTTGTTTTAGTTTTATTATTACTAAATGTTGTTTTGTTTTTATTTTCACTCAAAAAGTGGACATTGTGCTTGGCTACCTGCTAAATTTAATTAAAGGAGAAGTCAAAGTGAACACTAATATTACAAGTAGAAAAACAACTCAAACAAACAGTATTTTATATATTAAAAGATATAATAATAGCCCCCCCCCCCACACACACACACACATTTTTCACCTCATCCCAGTGTAGTTTTCTTTCTTTTTTTTTCTTTCAAATTTGTTAGTGCTTTATTCTCTGCTACTGCTCTTTTGAGAGGAGTGTCAAATCTTGGGAGCTTGTGATGGCTGCCACGAAATCCAAGGCTTCCCTTTGAAACACATCACTGACTCACTTCCTATTGGTCTCTGGATACTTTTTTTTTTTTTTTTTAATCTTTATTGTTAAAAGTGTTACATAGATCCTCTTTCCCCCCCCATTAACCTCTTCCAGCCCGCTCCATCCTCCCCACCCCAGGCCCTCACTAACCCATTGTCCTTATCCATGGGTTATCATTTGTACATACAAGTTCATTGGTTGATCTCTTCCTACCCACCCTCCCCTGCCTTCCCTCTGAGGTTCAGCAGTCCCAGTGTAGTTTTCAAGGTGGAATAAAAGAATTTGCATGCATTATCTTTCACGTGGTTTTGATGCTTGAAATTACCCATGTAAGAATGTCAGATTGCTGACTACATGTAAATCCAGGATTAAACTACTGTAAATTGCCTCTGTGCACTGACTGTTGAAACCCTTATCTTGCCCCCGGCTTCTGAATTCATATCTTCTCGCAGCTTTTGCCTTATCTCAGCCACCTAACTGCTTTTTCAGGATGTCGTTTTTTTTTTCGTACTAGATAAAGGTCAGTGGTCTGTTATGTAAGTTCTTTCAGTATATTATTATCTTATATTTTGACTGCTAATTTTTGGCTTATTACTCGTTGTTGAATTCCAGACATGGGAGGACAATGGGTCATTGGCATTTTATTTGGATTGCAGGATTTAAAATTGTAGACGTTATGAAATTTTCAAAGGTCTAAGGCTAATGTAAGGTTACTTTATGTACGTGTTTTATTACATTCCTCCCCAAAATCTGTATTTTATAGTAGTAGACTGATATAAGTACTTCCCAGTCTTATTTGTAGTACTTTCTAAGCACTTGATATGTCATTATCAGTGAATCAGATTTTTAAAAGATGATTTAATTCTAGCATCAAAATATGAAAGTTTAGGAATCCTTTGATTTGGTTTACTCTAGTATTATTAGAGATAGTAAGAGATTAAGATAAGCTCACCCGTGAGGGATTGAAATAGGTGTTTTTACATAGTTTAGTTAGCTTTGTAGGCTTAAATTATAAATTAGATGCCCTTATATAGGACAGAAACAACGCTTACTTGGAAAAACGATGCCTTATGTTGTTTACTAACACTATTTGCATTGTCGATAGCTACTAGTGCCATCAACAGCTTAGTCTGTAAACTTTTGGGAAACAGAACTTTTTGCCAGAAAAACTTAAAAGTCATGACTACCAAGTAAAGATTTTAAGAAGGTCCACCTTTTATTTATTCCTGTCATGTTAGCCCAGCCAATATTATTTTTTGTCCATTTTATTAACCTTCTGAGTTAATGTTTCATATTGTTTTACAGTATTTATTCAATGGATATTTATTGAGTTATTACTATTATTTGCTAGTTACTACATTAGGAGTTAGAAATACTCCCATGAACTAGCATTTAGCAAATAACTGCTGATGGGATAATGTTACTAAAATGAAAGTGTTGCCTGGCCAGTGTGGCTCAGTGGTTGACCTATGAACCAGGAGATCACGTTTCAATATCGGGTCAGGGGACGTGCCCAGGTTATGGGCTTGATCCCCCAGGTGTGGCATGCAGGGGGCAGCTGTCCCATGATTGTCTCTCATCATTGATGTTTCTACCTTTCCCTCCCTCTCCCTTCCTTTCTGAAATAAATAAAAATATATTTTAAAAGACAACATAATGAAAGTGTTTATCAGGATATGACTATTATAAGTAGACATCTGAATCACAGTTTCTAAAAGGGTAATACTTTCCTAAGTGGAAGTAAAGATGAACAAATGTATTCAATATTTCAGGGAGTTTTGAACCATGGGCTTGTATTAGGGTTATAATTTTATCCAAGATACACAACGCAGGAGGTTTGACTATATTGAGATCTATCTATCACCGACTTTCTGAAGTATCATAGTACATCATGACAGCTACTGTCTGTGTAGAGGTTTGAAAGTATTAACCTTCATTTAGCTAATTCATAAGTAGTATTTCCAGGATGGTAGATCAAGATTAGAAATAATGGGATTACCTATATGTGAGTACATGAAGTAAATAAAACTATGACAGGCAGGTCTGAATGTCTCCTGACCTCTGATTGCCCCAGCACCACAGAGCTCAGATGAGAATCTAGGTGGGTGTGGTTTTTCAACCTCAGTTTTTTTTCTGACTTAAGAGCTGGCACTTTCTGACTTTATCAAAATTTTTGCACTTTCACTTATTGATATCACACCTATAATATAAACATTGCTTCTTCCTCATTCTCAGGGAAGCTCAGAGGCCTTGAAACTCAAGAAAAGTGAAGTATTCAAACCACTAACAGCAACAATTATTGCATAGTATTCCAGCTACAGACATAATTGGTCTCAAAAGTAAATTTGAGTCATAATGACCTTTGATTGCAGAGAGGCCTAGCACAACTTAGAGCGACCTTCCTGGAAAGGAAATTCTTAGAGCAGAACAGCCTTCCCACATGTTTCTGAAAGACTTTTATAGAAGTGTGTGACACCCCAAACCTTCCCAAAAAGCTGGGGTTGAATAAGTTAGGGAATTTTTGTACACTATTTCCCTCTTGGAGAGTTGCAGTGCTTGCTATAATAGAAGATTACAGGCTCTATTTAGTCCTACTATAAAATATGTTTAATATATATTTTTAAAATATATTTTATTGATTCCTTACAGAGAGGGAGATAGAGAGTTAGAAACATTGATGAGAGTCATCGATCAGCTGCCTCTTGCACGCCCCCTACTGGGGATGTGCCCACAACCAAGGTACATGCCCTTGACCGCAATTGAACCTGGGACCCTTCAGTCCGCAGGCTGACGCTCTATCCACTGAGCCAAACCAGTTTCAGCTGTTTAATATTTTTAAATTTAACCGATTCAATCTTATTTGACCACAGTTTTTTCCTTAACATATTACCTAGCAGCAATCCCAAAGTTGACTGTTCTGCCTTAATTCAGGATACGTTCTGCCACGATCCAGCTATTGGTTGTGATCAATTTGGAGGCAGATCTTAACACTCACAGCCAATTAGACGCTATCTTTATTAGCCTATTCTATAAGAACTATAAGAAAAGTTCTTTATGAACTTTTTATGGAATACTTACATTGCTTAATAGAGTATACTATTAATTTGAAAATTTTAGCAAAGCATGAGTTCACTACTTAAGCGACCTTTGCATTCCTTACATTAGGACTTAGGAGGGGGGCTACTATGGAATGAGTAGAAACAGGTGAGCTTCTCATGACTGGGCTGTGGCCTGGAGTGCATTTTCCCTGAGATGTGGTGGCCTGGGAGTCCAGCGTGACTCCTGATGCATTGCTCCATGCTGCCTATGGCTGTGCTTGCCCATGATGGGACTTGTGAATGGCTTGTGCTACCATATCGTTGCAAAGAACCAGGTTATGCAGTGATCCTTACAGATATGTATTTACGTATTTGCTTTCCGCAGCGATGGAGAGGGGAGAAGAAGGACCTCGTCCACTTGCAGCAATGATTCTCTGAATGTTGGAGGAACCCCTGTCACTCCTCGCCGGATCTCCTGGCGGCAGCGCATCTTCCTCAGGGTTGCTTCTCCCATGAACAAGTCTGCCTCGGCAATGCAGCAGCAGGGTCTGTATGGTGCCCATGAAGGAATTACTCCTCATTGGTGCAAATTAGGGAATGGAATGCAATGGTTTGTGTCCAAAGAGACTTACGTATTACAGTGGAGAAATAATTTCTCTTTCCATATCTGATATAGTGGTTAACTTCTCAGATATCATTAGAACTTATCTGGCATTCAGCAAATGCTTGTTTAATGAATCAATAAGTTTCCCAAATCAGGAACTATGATAGTGCTAGAAAAGAAGTCACAGACTTTTTTTTTTTAAATCTTTCCTCCCTCCCTCCTTCCCTCCTTCCCTCCTCCCTCTCTACCTCTCTTCCTTCCTAACTTTTAAAATGTTTTAAAAATTGAATTTATTGGGGTGACACCAGTTAATAAAACCATTTCAAGTATACAACTCAGTAACACATCATCTGTATACTGCATCTGCACTCGACACACAAGTAAAATATCTTCTTACCACCCTTTATCCCCCCTTTATCATCTTTCCCCTCTCACTTCCCCCTTTTCCCTGGCAATCACCATATTGTTGTCTGTGTCTCTGTGCTTTTTAATTTTTGCTTCCCCGCCCCTAATCCCTTCATCTTTTCACCCAGCTCCCTCCTAACCCCTCTCCCCTCTGACAGCTTTCAGTCTGTTCTACTCACTTATAGTTGACATTCAGCATAGTCATAGCCTTTTTTTATTATTGGAAAAGCAATGTACTCTTTTTTAACAGTCACACATAAAACAAAGTGATATAAAATGTTGAACAATAAAGAAATGGATACAGATACACTAGGCGAATATCAAGCAAAAGAGAGCATGGCAGCTGTCTTCGAATGCTAGGCCTGTTGTTAGAAATTAAAGCAAAAACATATTGAGGGGCAAATAACCTAATAAGCAAATATATAAATATAATGAGAACACACATAAGTATACAGACTTGAGAGCTAGAAAAATCACAGAATTTTTAACGTAAATAAAAGAAAATCACTAGCTCTTTTAATATATTCCTCCATGAAAATTAAATATAGAAAAATTGAATACATATAATAAGAAATACAATTAAACAAAATTTATCTGATATTTATATGGAACCTTGCCATCAGAGAGAAAATTCATTCATTTATAGCACATACGGAATAGTCATAAAAATTAATTATGTTCTTGGCTCCAAAGATTTCTTAATGAATTCCACACCATCATGGCCATTTATACTATGTTCTCTGATCACAGTGCAAATAAGAATAAAAAGAAAAAAGAAGGAAAAATGAAGAAGAAATGAAAGAAAGAAAGGAATCAAGAATTAGAGGACAACTAAAATATTTTGTCTGTTTGGAAACTGAAAGCTCTACTAGAAGCTAGAAGGAAGACAATATGATAAATATTGAGTGGTATTTAGAGAGCATTTCTAAAATTAAGAAAGCCAAAATGTAAATGTACTAAATATTTAACTCAAGAAGCTAAAACAAAAGTGAAAGAGTAAAAAACAATTTTAAAGTTATTTATTAAGAAAATAAATAATAATATGGGTGGAGGTCAATTACTAAATTGAAAAAAACAAACAAGAAAACAATTGACATTACTGAAGATACAATCAGCTGTGCCTACGCTGGTCAGAAGAAGCTTCAGGGCAAAGTTAGGTATTTGTTTAAACGCATTGCTGAGACACGTATGCTTCTGAAAGAGGAACTAGCAAAGCTCTGGAGTCATTGGAGGGACTTTTGTGGGTCAGAGAATCATGAGAACTTGAACTTTGGGAGCACAGAATGGAAGCTGAGATGAGGATGGAAAGGTTACAGGGGGAGTCTGAAGGGATCTATATGCTACCCCCTGTAGTCTGGACATAGTTCTCCGGGATATAAGCAATCATTGACATGTTTTAAGAGACATGATCATGCCTGTTAATACAGAAAAAAATGGCAACAGTACAAAAGATGGTCTGGAACAGAGGGAGAGAATGAGCTCAGGAATTGGGTAAGAGAGTGTTGCAGGAGTGAGCAAGGGTGCTGAGCCAAGATGTGCTCAGAGTTGCCCAGCTGCTTTTCTCCTGGAGGATTCAGATGGTAGATGCAGCCTTTTAGGAGAGGCTTCATACCGACTCACACACTCTTTTTGCTTTTCACAATCAGAGGGTGTATATAGGTGAATTGCAGAAGTGTTAAAACTCAGGGGAAAGGCCGGTTCATTTTGGAGCACCTATCTTTTAGGTCATTTTGTGCAGAAAGGAGAAGTGGTGAAATGAGGTATGCTTTCATTTCACTACGAGAGGGAACTCTGGAAGGGGAATTCAGGCTGGTGAGTTTACTTAAACCTTTCCTTCCAGAAACTAACAGTGACTGGGAAAGTGGCTCTGTGCAAAGCTTTAAAGGTGGACGGACTGTAGGATGAGAGCACGTTGATTCTGGAGAAAACTTCTGTAGTCTGGGCTACTGCTGTGGAATGCCTCTCACTGTGTTCTTCTCTGCAGATGGGCTGGACAGGAATGAGCTGCTGCCACTGTCCCCTCTTGCTCCAACCATGGAGGAGGAACCGGTGGTTATATTCATGTCTGGGGCTGATGACCCAGAAAATGCTGAAGAAAGAAAAAAATCAGAAGAATTGAGGAGTTTGTGGAGAAAAGCCATACACCAACAGATTTTGTTGCTTCGAATGGAAAAAGAAAACCAGAAACTTGAAGGTTAGCCATTCAAATAGGGCTAAACGATATGATACTATAATGTAAGATTGTTGTCTCGGACTGTATACGCACTTTTACTGGACTACGGATGATAATTGCTTATTTCTATTTTGTGAGATGGTTATAACATGGGAAAGACCAACTTGAAATATTTGCATTTTGGCTTAGTAGAATTAAAAACATCAGGCACTCTTAGAGCTATTTGGGTAATAGAGGGTGTAGATAATATGATGATACAGTCATATATATTTGATCATCAGTGTATTTTATATGACTTAAATATCATTTATGCATTACTTAAAAAAAAACTCTTAAATATGAGAAAGCAAATTCTTTTCTTGTTGAATATGATTTTCAACTTTCAGGATAATTGTATTTTTAATAGGCGAAATAAGACTATTTCAAATTAATCATATCCAACTCAAGTGTCTAATTATATTTTATCAAATCAAAGTTCATATTTTTGTTATAAATTTTCTATTTAAAAATTATATGCAAATCATTAAATTTATAATTGGATAATTTAGAATAGCTATTGTGCTGTTTGTTTTCTCCTGGAGGATTCAGAGGTAGATGTAGCCTTTAGGAGAGCCCTCATACTGACTCCTCCTACCAACTCAAAAAACACTCTTTTGCTTTGCTTTATTGCTCAGTTTAGAAATACCAAATGCTATAGAATGTGCTTTCCAGGCTGAAATATTGATGTTATTTACCTCAGTACTGATAGAACCACACACAGGAGATGTGGAGACAGGACCAAAATGTATTAATGTCATTATCTTTGGCACATCACTGAACATAAAAGAGTCTTACCTTTTACATTTGTAAAATGAAAGATTTAGCTTATGGGCCCTTTGATTTTTTGGAGTCTTAGAAACTGTACAATTGAAGATTGTCTTTGAGTTGCTTTTATTGGGTTGTCTTCCAAGAAGCTTTTTAAATATAATTATTCACCTTTCTGTGCTCATCATCTAGCTTAAGATTCCTCTCACTATACCTGTTACTCAGTTCAGCTTTTAATTTCAACAGTATTTAGTTTGCAAGCTCATAATTTATTTCCTTTATTGTTATTTTTCTTAGCAAAATGAAGAGTACTAAGATTTTACATATCCCTAGAAAGTAAATGTTCTTTTTAAAAAAATGCAATTAGTTGCTGTTGACATAGCTTTTAAAAGTTGGGTGTGATAAATGGTATGCCCACTTGAATTGCCATAAATTTTTTTTTAAGGAATTGAATTTATAGGCTGGGGCAAAAATAGTTTTACAGTTGTTGTTTTGGCAAATAATAAAACAAGAATAAACTCTGTGTTTCTCATACTTACAACTGTAAACCTATTTTTGCTCCCTCCTGTGTGTTTTTAAGCAATTGGCTACATCTTGAATTTACTCATAAACATAAAAAGAGGTTGATAAAAGCATGGCTATCATCCTATAAAACAGTTAAAGCATCAACTTAGATATTTCATTAACATTTGGGAGTATGTACAAGTAGAATCTTATATTAAATGTTAAAGGAAGTTTTAGAATCATAGACTGCATTGGAAATGGCCTTAGGGATTATTGAGCTCTATTCTTCATTCTGCAAATGTTAGTCATTGGCTTCGACTAGATAAGGAATTAACCTAAGGTCACACAGTGATGCGCTGGCAGACAGGTACTGAACCGCATGTTTACTTCTCATGGTTCTCGGGTTTTTCCCCCAGTATGCCACAGCATTTCTCAGCTATGTGTGAATATAGGGAAGTGGAATGTTTCAATGCAACTGACTGCGTGTAAACTATAGAAACTGACAGAATAAGAATGGAGGTGACATTTAGAATATTTAGAAAACTTTATTAGTTTTATATTTATTTCTCTACTTATGAAAAAAGGCAAAATAATCTAGCTTATTAAAATTCTAGCCAAAGGATAATCATTTTTTGGTGGTACTTTATTCTCACCTAGTTAACCAATCGGGCAGAGATGAACTGCTCTTACTCAGTTTATCCTGAGGGCCTGCAGTTGGCACATAGTAGGTGTTTATTATTATTTTAAATGAAAAAATGGTCTACTGAAGGCTAGAGAAAAAGAAAATCTGAGGACATGTTGTGCTCTGTTCATTGTGAAAAAAAAAATCATCAGCAAAGTTAAATGTGGGATTATATTTATTATTAGCTTTAATGAATTCACTTCTTTTATTTGATGATCATAGAGAAATACAAAGCAAATATAGAGAAGCAAAGCAAAATTATGTTAGAAAGCCATCTAGTGGTATCCAGGAGAATATTTTTGTGTGCGATTTTTTTTTTTTTTAAATATGTCTGGACTTTTATGTAGACCATTTTATAATTCTGTTCTAATAGCAGTCGATTGTAAGATATTTAAATTTTTTTTAAAAGGTTTCAAACACACTAAGTAAAGAGTAATACTGGTTTTGCTGTTGTTTTTTGTGCTGTCGAGGACTTTGGGTGCATGACAAAGATTTGTGTTGCAGAAGGTAAGGTGGTTGAGCCCTGTGGGCTTGAATGATTATTTACATATTTACTTGGAGAGACTCCTGTTCAACGTGATATGGACGACAGAGAAAAATATGTATTCTGTCATGGTTTCTCTTCATTTTGAAATCACATAAAGACCAAGTTAAGATAGTGGTTGTTTTTGTAGGCATTTCTTTTAATTAGCTCTGGGCTTATATTTTAGATCAGCAAATGAAAGAGAATTTTGTATTATTTAAAAAAATGGAAGTAGTGAAAACTTCAGTAACATAAATTCTCCTTTTTGAGATTATTACTAATGAACACAGGAGCGTATAACTCAGTCTTGTTAAGGATAGTGTTCCTAATGGAAATAATTATAAAAACATATCGGGTTATGATGGTCAAGTATTTATGGAATCAAGGTTAGCATGAGACATTGTTTTCTCATAGATGTCAAATATAAAATATTAACACTCTGTTGTCACTTTGGAGGCTATCACATTTATTAAAAAATTGAAATTTTTAGTATAACAAATATGGTTTATTTTTATATTTATTAGAGTGACGGTCTGTAAGATACTGAGTAAAACATCCTCAGGAAGTTGTGCCTGACATTTTCTTACATGAAATGATTACAAGTTTGAGAACCTTTCATATATTCTCACTTTTTTTAAGTTTTCTTTTTTCAGAAAATATTAATGGTTGATTCCTAAAAGTCATTGGGTATAGTTTTACAAATACAATACAGTGTAAAAAATACTACGTTTTAAAAACATTTTGGTCTTACATAAATTCTCCTGTTTTCCTCAGCAAGCAGAGATGAACTCCATTCCAGAAAAATTAAACTGGATTATGAAGAAATTGGTGTATGTCAGAAGGAGATCTTAATTACCTGGGATAAGAAGTTATTGAACTGCAGAGGAAAAACAAAATGTGATATGGAAGACATTCATATTTCTCTTAAAGAAGGTATTCTAGAACACCTCAATCTTCTTTTTTCATTTTTTTGCTAATCCCCACCTGAGGCTACTTTTCCATTGATTTTTAGAGAGAGTGGAAGAGAGGGGGGAGAGACAAGAGAGAAACATCAATGTGAGAGAGACACATTGATTGGTTGCCTCCCATAGGAACCTGGACTGGGACCAGAAATTGAGCCTGCAACCGAGGTATGTGCCCTTGACCAAAATCAAACCCTTGATCCTTCATTCTGGAGGCTGATGCTCTATCCACTGAACCAAACAGGCTAGGGCTCAATCTTCTTTTTAGAGAAAGTTTCAGAGATTTTTTTAAAAAAAATCTGTGCACTTTGGGCATACTTTTGTCTTTATAATGTGTGTATAAAAAAAAAAAAAAAAGGAAAGTGATTACTTAAGCCAGCAGTCAGTGACTCAGTTGGTAAAAAATGGGGCTAAAGGAGAGAGTGTCCCTGAAGAGATAGCAACACCATTTCTGCAGACTTGCCTGTCCCCTTCAGTCAGCGGTTCTCAGCTCAGTGTCATTGTTTACCAAGGAAGGAGCAGATTCACTGGTACAGATCTTTGATCATGTCCATAAAAATAATTCAGGCTTACAGACTTCACTCATTTCCATTATTTGGTTAGAAGAGTTTACTTACACACATGTTTATGTATATTCACTTACATGTATGTGTTTATAAATACAGAATTATATTCTTGTGAAGCAGTTAGTATGTTTTCCTTCCATCTACTTATTTCTTTTAGAAGATTTACTTTTATTTAGCCTTTATAGTGCATTGCTGCTCTGTCATATAAAATGACTGATAATGAATCTTATTTTAAAAGGTTATGGTAACGTGTGAAACTGTTGCATAACTAAATTGAAATTAAGATTAATTTTGTAAGATCCTACATTTACAGTCCTAATATATCGGTGGTTTGCCTCGAAGATATGGAAATCCTAAAGATTTTCACTGAATGCATTATTTGAGAGGTAAAAAAGTGGTTCCTAGAATGTGTGAGAGATGTATGGCTTTTAAAATACGTTTTAGGGGGTGCCCACCTTCCCATTCCATACAGGACACAGTTTAACTTTCTGAACATCATGCCCAGCGCCCCTGTACTCCCTCCTTATTCATCTTTCTGCTCTCACTTTCTGCCTATCGCTTCCTTGTATTACGTGTTTCCTCCCAGGATGTTCCAGGCTATTTCTGCGTGGATTGTTGCAGCCTTTCTACACTCCTCTTCCTTACCATGCTGCCTGCTCCCCTTTCCCATCTCCCTTCTTTCCATCCCATCTTCCCATCGTCTCCTCACTCCTCCTTCCCCCTCCCAGGGCCTTCACACACCCTTCTCCCGGAGAGACTGCTGCTCACACTCCCAGTCTGGAGAGTCCTGGTGTTCTTCAGCACTCAGGTCAAATTCCATTTCCTCAGAAAGAGTGTGCCCGCCCCTCTCCTCCATCAAAAGGAATTAGTTTCACTTTATCATTCTCTTATAATTCTTTCCCTGTAATTGTGGGGATCATAAGTTGCAATATTGTATTTACGTGTACATTTGTTTAATGTTTTTCTCACCACTGCACTGCACATCTAGCATCTAAGAGAACATCTTGCACAAGTTACTTACTGAATGGATGAAAGACTAATTTTCCTGAGAATGCATTTATTCATTTCTTAGTGATGAGGTACCCTCAGGGCCATGCTCTCTATTCTGCTATACATTAGATGCTCAGTAACTACTTGTTTAACTGAAGTGAATTAAATTTTTGTAAAACTGTGATTGGATGGATAATAAAACAGTTATCAATAATTCATTTAATAAGCTGATGAAAATTACCTTCTAAGAATGACATTTTACACACTCTTCATTCATTCATTCAATAGATGCTTACATTGCAAGGTATATTGTTAGATTTCATCATATAGAGGTGAAAGTGTGCTCACTATTCTCCAGGACCTTACCATTGCAGTGGGGAAAACAGATGAACATACAGTAGGAAGCTACCTGTAATCTAATATGGCAGTGTTAGACAAGGATGAACTAAATAGTAAGCGGAAAGGAGTGTCTGGGAGATTTTCAGTCAAAGAAAGACATTCAGGCTCACCCATAAAAGACAAGCAGAAGTACCATAAACATTCATTCAATGGGGGAGCTTGGATTTCTTTGAGACAACACTAAGAAACTGGAGGTGTGAAAATAACCATAAGCTTCTTATGCTTTATGTGTGGAGGGGAATGGGAGGCAATTGGACTGAAAAGGTGGTTTGGAGATATATTGTGGAGGGCCTTGTAAATCAGTCAGTGAGCCTGAGCTACAGCTTTTGCAAAATAATATTTTCAGCTGATGCAGACTGTGGCATTGCAGTCCAAACAGATTATTGCCATTAAGACTTCCTTTACCCAGCTGGAGCTCAGGAACGTATTTCAGATCTAGTCTGTCTGAACTGGAAAAACGCAGTGAAATAAAATTAGCTGCTTCGTAAAGAATTGAATTCTGTCCCTCCCAGCCCTTACGTTATATCCTTTGGCATCAAAAGTATAATTTTAGCATACTTTGAATCGATTGTGATACCCTTTGGTTTCCTAACTCAGTGGAGTTAGCTTCATTTCACAGGCTAGATGTTTTCTTCCCAAAGACTGAAGGTTGTTCATTAGCACTCCAGTTATACCTCTTCATTTTTATTATTTCATTATTCTGTGACCATATAGGAATGCTGTTTAATTCTCTTTTACCACGTTTCTTATTTATGACCAATACTGAAACATTACATGAGGATTTGCATTTGTTACTAGCCTTCAAACCAAATAAAAGGTGATAATAGGCAATAATACATACTAGGATTTCAGAATTTGGCCTCCGAAACCATATTTCCGGAGTTTTAATTCTAAGCTGATGAATTTGGGCAAGTTACTTAGCCTCTTGTAACTTGCCCAAATTCACAACAGCTAGCAAGGGGCAGTTTAGAATTAGAACCTAAACTGCCTCAGCTTCCCCATCTGTACAATGGGGGTAATGGTGATCACCTCCCTCATCAGGGTGTTTTCTGAGTCCATTTCCCATGCTTAGCACTGAGGCACCCTCAGTAAATTGTGTATTAGGTGTTCACTCAGTGTGGGCCCATGTTGTCAGTATCGCTGTTGTTATTGAAGGGTGTTTTTTTTCCCCTCACAAGACATCAGCAGCTGAGGGATTAAACTTGTTAGTCGTGCTCCATGTTCACATGGTGGCATGCAGGACATTGCAGCTGCCTGTTTCAAGCATTACATGGTTCACCAGCTCTGATTCAGCAACTTCAGTCCAGAGTTCAAGACCCTGATTTTTTTCTCGGACTACCGTAGGTGTTCCCAAAAGCCGACGAGGAGAAATCTGGCAGTTCTTGGCTATCCAATATCGTCTAAGGCACCGATTGCCCAATAAGCAGCAACCTCCAGACACGTCCTACAAGGAACTTCTGAAGCAGCTCACAACCCAGCAGCATGCTATTCTCGTGGACTTAGGTCTGTTTGCCCTGTTGATTATTATTTACAAGAGTTTGTTGAGTTTTTTGTTTGTCTGTGTTTTGGTATCGAGAAAGAGGAGCTGTTGGCCTATGTAGAGATACTGTGTTTTTTTTGTTTTGTTTTGTTTTTTTTAGGGCAGTTGGTTTTATACCTACTTGAAGATGTCATAATTGCCCGAGTAGGAAATGAAGTTTTTGTCACCAAACTGTCCCTCTGAAGAAAGAGTTATCTTATATGTGAATCAGTAAAAGGTCATATTGTCAGATACTCTGAGTTCCTGTTTTTGAATAACTGACTTTTGTTTGGGGTAGACAGTTATCTCAATCAGCTTTGACTTTGAAATGGGTTAGAGTAGGTTAAAAGGGCTACTATTTTTTTTTTTTTAAACAAAGTTCCATTAAATATATCTGGACAGGTTGCTGAAAACAAGCCTTTGAATATGACTTTCTAAAGCAATACAAGGAGTGGTTATGTTGTGGAAATCATGAATTCTTCCCTCTAGGGTGGAAGAAAAAGTATCTGTCATAGTGTTAGATGAATGGGTTATTACAGCCTGCGGGAGAATTTCCAGGGTCAGCATCATAAAGCTGTGTTTGTAAGGGCTACATTTCAAATAAGTTAAGAAAGTAAAAATAGTATTATTTTAAAAATTATATTGTGCCTAGTTTTTCTCTAAATTAACATATTATAATATATTCTAGTAGCCCTGCACATGAATCCATATGCCAGTAGCTCACTGCTGGACTCCTGTAGCTCTCTGCCTGCTGCCCCATCCTCCTGTGGCTCTCTCCCCTTCTCACCCCCCTTCCCTCCGCCTCCCCATAGCTTGCTGCCCTGGCCCCTCCTGTAGCTCTCTTATGCCCGCCCCACTTGTAGCCAGTAGCCAGTAGCTCTCTGCTGCTGCCCAGCCCTCCTGTAGCTCCCCCCCCCCCCCCCCCCCCCGCCTCATAGTTTGCTGCCCTGACCCCTCCTGTAGCTCTCTGCTGCTCGCTTATAGTTCCCTGCCCCATCCTCCTGCAGATCTGTGATCCAGTCCTTATACAGTCAGTCGTTACGCCTCACGGAGTAATGGATAATTAGCATATTCCCTTCTTATTGTATAGGATTTTATTATTTTGCAATATCAGACATTTTGGATTAAACATTGTACACTGACATTTGACTATTTCATCCGTATCCCTAAAAATTGGTAATTTTAAAGTGGACAGATATGTTACTTGAGCCCATTTGTGAAAACAAGTGATTACATTTTATTTGGAGTCACCTTATATTAGAGCATATAAAAACCACTGGCCAAAACCTAGTTTTGATCTCTGTTCCTTTTAGATGATAGTTTTTTTTTTGTTGTTGTTGGGAAAGGGGTCCAAATTAATTAATATTTTTGAGCCAAATAGAATTAAAAGGGAGAATTTTACAAAGAAACTGGAAACTCCAGTTCTTGTTCTGATTTTACCACTGAACTGTGGTTTTAGGCAAATTACTTTGCTTCTGAGTCTCAATCTTCTCTCTTAAATGAGGACTTGGCACTAGGCAATCCTTGTGTACCTTGCAAATCTGTGGTTCTTTGGAAATTGATCCTGAGACTAGAAATTGGGATGATACAGTTAGGGTGAGTCAAGATGTCCTAATAGAAGGAGAGGATGAGATCAGATTGCAGGGACTTATTTATATAACTTATTTACCGTTTAACAAAAATTTTAACTGAGAAAGTAAAATGATAATTTTAAAAATGCTTATTTGACTATACTTGTAGCCAAACACACATGCTGTGTGTTTCGTCAGCATGTTCTTGTTGTTTTTCACATCTTCCCCTTACTTGCTCTGCAGAATTAATCTTATCAGTTCCTGAGGGTGGGTGGAGGAGTGTCACTCTTAAGCATGTGTGATGGAAACATTTAAAAATCTGGAATTCTTATAAGATTTAACTGATAGGAGTAGTCCTTTCACAAGGAAGCTACCATCCCTTCATTTTGGGGGCACAAAGAAAGCCCTGCATCAGGCTGTGTGCACAGCTTTGGTGGTGAAGGTGGGTTTGTTTCTCTGTTTAGTACCAACTTTTCAGTGATCCAGGACTGGTTGTGTTTGTTGACTGAAGTATCTCCATGTTAATTTTATATCCAAAGGAGAATTTTACAGAAGGATTTTTAAAATATGTATATTTTTTTCATTGACGAGAGAGAGAGAACATCGATGTGAGAGAGAAGCATCAGTTGGTTGTGAGAGAGAAACATCAATTGGTTGCCTCCCGCATGCACCCCGACCCAGAATGGAACCTGAAACCTTGTCAGTTGCAAAGAATCTCAGGTCTTTTGGGAATGTGTCCTGACCTGGAATCAAACCTGTGACCCTTCAGTGCATGGGACAGCGCTCTGCTACCTGAGGGGAATTTTTTTGAAATCACCTTGACCCCTTTACATGACTCATGGAGATGGATTAAGAAAAGAGAGCAAAGGATGTTTGAAAAATAAGTTTTTCCTGAATGACAGATTGAATGTAAAGCAAAACATCTCCCAAAAGCCCCTCCAGTGTCATATTGTAAGAGAAGCAGGAATAAATCTGTTTAGGACTTCTAAGATTTCCTTTCAAATAATGATACCTCTTATGGTTTCAGTTAGCAGGTGGTTTTCATGTGACCTTAGAATTTGCCTTGATTTATAGTCAGAATAAATTTTATATTTTATTCTCTGAAGATTTTTTCTGGATATATCCTTGATTTGTTTATGCTTATTTTTTACCCCCCTAGATAAAAGTTCTGGTTAGCATAAAATGTTTACTTCCCTGTCTTGTATGTGGAGATGGGGTGATGATCTGGCAGGCAAGACATGGGGAGAAAGAAAGGGGGATGGGGAAGGGGAAAGAGAGATTGATTCAGATTGAGCACTTCAAGCAACTCTAACTGGTTTGAGCAAGGATGTTTATTTCTGGAAATCATTGAATTGCAGTTTTGCTCTGGTCTCCAAAATACGAGGACATCTCAAAAATATTTCCTTTCTTTTCCTCTGCAGGAAGGACATTTCCTACTCATCCTTACTTTTCAGCACAGCTTGGGGCAGGGCAACTGTCACTCTTCAATCTCTTGAAAGCCTACTCCTTGCTGGACAAAGAAGTGGGTTACTGTCAGGGGATCAGCTTTGTGGCTGGAGTCCTGCTTTTGCACATGAGTGAAGAGCAAGCCTTTGAAATGCTGAAGTTCCTCATGTATGACCTAGGATTCCGCAAACAGTACAGACCTGACATGATGTCGCTGCAGGTGAGGCTGCTAACATTCTCCAGGGAATGCGTCAAGTTGTGACCAGAAAATCTGAGGAGCAACCCTCTTCTAAATTACGGTAGATTTAAAGAAATCTGGACCCACTGTCCCCTAAGTCTACACATTACATGGAAGAAGAATTAAGTCATCTTAATTCACTTTTCCTCAATTTGTCAGTTGCAAAGAATCATAGATCTTTTGTTTAATATCTGAAAATATAAAGTCTTTATTCCTTTACTTGGAGTGCAGGAATGGCAGATGTCTATGTCATGGTTCTTCTGAGCTTACCATATCTCCCCTCTTTTACCATAAAGTCAGATAGATTCTAAGATGGAGAAAGTTCAAAGATTATGGTACTGTGTCAGCCTACTTTTCTTAGCATGCTCTAAAGCAGCACTGTTAAGATTTTTTTGTTAAGTAGGGTATTCACTGCTACTTCTGTCTTCAACTTAGTTCAGACGCCCTGTTTACACATTTTTCCTCTCTAGTTTAAATCTCATTTTCCTTAGTGTATAAGTTTCTTACAAGAAGTTTAAATCTTTTCTGTAGATAGGATATCCCAAACATCTACTACCTTGCAATTTAAAGCTTTTAGTAGTAAAAATATAAAGGAAGACTTTAAAGAGAGGTCAGTTATGATATCCAGTTAGTCATAATATTATGGTTGGATAAGAAGTAAAATATTAAAAAATGCTTTTACAATATACTCTATTTCCCGGTTCCCAAGGATCAGTTTTCTCATTTAATATCTTAGTTACCAGTTCACAGGCAAAAAAAGACTTGATGCTTTCACCTGAGGAATAGGATATGGATGGGATTCTCCTGAGAGGATGGTGAGGAGTCCTCCATTTCTCTTTCTGAAGATGGTGTTTCTTCTAGGAGCCTTTCCTCTTAGTGTTCGGTTTCAGGTGTAAGTTCATATGCAGGGTGTTCACCAGAAAACAGATACGGTGATTTGGTTCCTAAGTGTTGACCATTCTTAGGTCTATAAACATTGCCTAAGTGAAATAATAATGATTGTGGAGGGTGTTATTCTTCATTCTATTGCTTAATAATTTACTAGTCTCATATCAGATAGGAAGCATTGCTACCCTTATAGGAATTAAATAGTTCTGATTTCCAGAAATACCACTTTGGTAGCTCTCCTTAGACTTACAAAGATTAGAGAATACTTGTGAATAGTTGATTTTAGCCAATAAATAAAAAGATAGATATATATCTATCACTTTATTTTTTAATTTATTAAGTTATTACATATGTGTCCTCATGCCCCGATTAGCCCCCCATTTCCCCGAATCATGCCCTCACCTCCCTGTTGTCTGTGTCCATTGGTTAGGCTTATAAGCATGCATACAAGTCCTTTGGTTGCTCTATAGCTAACACTTTAAAAATGCAGTGACTTTTTTTATTAAAAAATATCTCATCAATTTGACATCATAAAAATTTATATAAATTGGATTTATGTATTAATTTAATATGACTTGCAATTACCAAGAAATCTGTTAAGTCTGTACTAATGAAAATGAAGATGTTTTAACATTTTTGGTGGTAGCTTTTTTATAGGCCACAAGATAGGGAACCTTATGCTAGAAAAGTAGATCTTTTTGCTCTGTAAACACTTTTCCACTTTCTAGAGCAAGAAGTGTTTTTTATCTAATCAATATGAATTTCAAAAGTGGAAGCAGCGATGGGCTTTAGATCAGTTGGTATGGTTTCTGATACCTGCGTAGTGTGAGCTTGGGCATTGTAGGTTCTCTCTGTAAAAGGAGGAAAAGGTTGAGGACTTCTAACCTTGTCTCATTTTTTTTATATCTGCAGTTTTTGTTTTGAGTGTAAAAGCATCAAATCTTTTTATGTAAAATCTTTGGTCTCTACTTTTTTCCATCTTCTCATGCTCCACAATTCTCACCTGTCCCTGTATCTCCCCTCTTCCATCTGAAGATTTGCCATGTTATCTATAAGGTAGATTGGAAGGATTATTTATCTTAGAAAATGGCATTTTATTATTAAAGTTTCCTTTGAAAGAAGAATGAATTGCACTTTTATTTGCCTTTTTCAAATAAATTTAATGGAAATATATCTTCATGGAATGTTCTCCACCCCTAGTTTAGAATGTAGGGGAAAAGTAGCATTTCTTTTTTTTTTTTTTTTTTAATTAAACATTGAAGTATTGCTTCTGAATTATGATCATAACTATACAAGAACAGAATGCTTTTGATGCTATGCATTCTTTTTATTCTGCTAATTAGATTTCTCTGATCTTTGTGCTATCAGAGCATTTTGATATAACTTCTCTTGACATAACTCAGTATGTCTGTCTAGTTTATAAATTATAAATGGCCTAAGGGAAATATAGGATTTTTCAATATGACTTAGTAAGATAATAATCTCATTTTTAAACATTATATTTGCCTGTAGCTAAGCTTCTTACTTTATAGCTATGACTTCCTGTGTCTTTTTCTTTCCTTTTACAGTTTGTGTCAAACCTTAGTTTTCACAGATGGGTTATAAAGATCAAATTAATAATTTGCTTTATTTATATATAGTATTTGGAATTTTAGTTTTGTGCTCTGGAATCAACAGTTTCTAACTTCACAATATAGCTCTATATTTTAATGTATTTTTATAGAGCTAACTATTTGAGGGTGATATTTGATGATACCTTCTTGTGAAAGAAGTTTGCTGGATTTTATAAGATATTGTGTACATTTCTTACCAAAATGTTAAACTGATAAAACTGATCGAGGAACCACTACTCAATCTGTTACTGTATGCATAAAAATATAAATTAAAGCCCAATTCACAATTTTTTTTATTGTTTGCTTCTGCTTAACCTTTATCTACAACAGACGTAAGTTGCTATATGTTGCCTTTATAATTTTTTTGAAATATCACTAATCAACTCAGTAGCCACATGAAATAATTTCTTATCTTAATACTAGAAACATTCAGACTGCAGATTTTGCTTTAATCTTTTTTGTCATAAAAATAAACTGCTGGAATACCTTGGACATTAGAAATCACATCTCAAGATTCTGACTTTATAACATGCTAAGCCTAGCAGTGTCTATTGCCTGGTGGGTATAGGCCAGAGCTCCATAATAAATCAGACACGGTTCCCAGCAAATAGAGTAGGCTTTGCTTCTGAACTGAATGTGGTAGATTCTTTAGAGTGGAGGCTTTCCTGGGATTGGCCTGAAATTAGAATGGACCTCCCATGAGAGTTCTGACCCAGGACAGTTCTGATTTATATCTTCTTACATTAATATCTACATGAAGAAAGAATGACCATCCTATATAATAAAAGGCTAATGTGCAAATTGTCCCCTCAACCTGGAGTTCACCTGGGAGTTTGACAAGGGGGTGAGCCAGCTGGCCAACAGCCCATAGCCCCTCCTCCCGGCTAGACCCCTCCTGTGCATGAATTTGTGCACCAGGCCTCTAGTTTCCATATATATGTTAAACCAAAACACACATGATGGTAAAACTTGCCCAATAGTCTTAGATGACCTTTCTGTGACTTGTTTATATGACCTCAGTTAAGTGAACTTAACTATCACCTATAACATAACAATAAAGATAAAGTAATACTGCTCTATTTGAATATATGTGAATTTGTCATTGAATATTAGAGCAATAAAATTAGTTTGTGTATTTTATGCACCCTCAGACAAATGCATAATGTTTTATTTTCTTCTCCAAATTAACTTTAGATTCAAATGTATCAGCTGTCCAGACTTCTTCATGACTATCACAGAGAGCTCTACAATCACCTGGAAGAAAATGAAATCAGCCCCAGTCTTTATGCTGCCCCCTGGTTCCTCACATTGTTTGCCTCTCAATTTCCATTAGGATTTGTAGCCAGAGTTTTTGGTAAGAGATGCCTCTGAGCAAATGGAACAGTGTTATTTATTTCAAAGGAATATACTTCTAGCCACTTGTTTTATCATGTGTTATACAGAATAGCAGATTGCTAGTGGAGTTGAATAAACATGCCTGGCTCTGTTCTGCAAGTAATTTGAAACCATATCGGTCTTAAATAAAATTGATATTACAAGGGAAAGAAGAAGAATCCGGCTCCTGTATTTGAGTGAGCTGTATTGGAGCCTTTTCTTTCATTTATACCTAAAAATCAGGGTATACTTCTTTAAAAGTCCAAACTAAGAAGTTACTGTGAATAATTTTCCAAAATTTCATATATATCTTTCTTATTGGCGGCTATGATTTAAAAAGTTAAACACTGTATTAGCGGCAATACAGTCTATAGAGAAAGTGCAGCTAAAGAGTAAAATCAATATGCATGGAATCAAATGTTCATTAACTTTTCCTTCTTTATGGAATATAGATGATTGCTCTTCTCCAGTTAAGTTTTCTCAGAAACTTGGGTTCCTATTATGTCTTCTATATACTAATACACACACACACACACACACACACACACACACACACAAATATATAATTCTTCTCAGAGAATAGGTTATTAAATCAAAATGATATTATGGTGTTTCAGAGCATCCCTCTCTGACTTATGTTTAGAGGCTTTATATTAGAATTTAGGAAAGAAATCTCCCCAGTAGTCTGTTTTTTCATATGAGGACATATATGAACGATGCTGTCAGCTCTACGATAGCTGCTCAGCCTGTTTCTCTGAAGCTAGTAAAAAATAGTGACTCTCAGGAAAGGGAAAGGTGCATGAGCAAGAAGAGTGACCATGTTTGTAGCAATGGTTTCACAATTCCCTCTTTTAAAAAAATGTTTTTATTGGTTTCAGAGAAGAAGGGAGAGGGAGAGAGGGATAGAAACATCAATGATGAGTGAGAATCGTTGATTGGCTGCCTCCTGCATGTCCCACAAGCCTGCAACTCAGCATGTGCTCTGTCCAGGAATCAAATCATAATCTCCTGATTCATAGGTCAATGCTCAACCACTGAGCAATGCTGGCCAGGCACAGTTCCCTCTTTTTAAAGACTCCGGAAGGAACGGAATGCTTTCTTTTTATTCTGCTAATTAGATTTCTCTGATTTTTGTATTGTTAAAGTACTTTGAAATAGCTTCTGTTGACATAACTTGGTATGTCTAGTTTATAAATTTAAATGGCCTAATAGAAAGATATGATTTCCCCCCAATATGACTTATTAAGTTAATAATCTCATTTTTACAGCCTTATGTTTGTCTGTAGCTAAGTTTCTTATTTTATAGCTATGACTTCCTGTGTCTCTTTCTTTCCTTTTAAAGTTCGTGTTAAACCTTAGTTTCCACAGATATGTGTCATAAAGATCAAATAAATAATTTGCTCTATCTTTAATAATAAAAGCAAGATATGCTAATTAGACCGGATGTCCTTCTGGCTGCAAAGGAAACCTGGTCCTAGTTGCCTAGGCGTGAAGCCTGGGTCCTGGGTGCCTTTCTTCATTGTAAGTAAAGAAAGAACTGGACAAAGTCTATGAAATATCTGTTTGCAAACATTGGACAACTGGCAATGCAGAATTTTGATCACTGAGAGAAGGGAAACAAAGTACTAACAAAGAATTGAGAGGTGGCAGAGTTCTGATCCCACACAGTAATGAGGCCTTTCTGAACATCTGGTATGGTTAATAGAGACCCCAGAAGGGCCAGGCCTTGACAATAAGGCTAAATGGCCCTGGATTAAAGGCCACCATAGGTCCTTACCAACAGAGTTTACAATCAAGTCTTGAAAGCTGATCTGCAGGCAATTTATCTGTCTTCCAAGTAACACTGCTCTTTAAAAAAATGAACAAAAATTTTAGACACTTAGCAATTACTGGGAAGAAGCAGGAAAGTGGAACTCAAAATCAGAAAATATAAATAGACTAAAAAAGAATAATCGAAAGCAGACAAGAGTTTTAGACAGCTAATATAAAGTATGTTCAGGAACTTAAAGGAAAGCATGAACATAATAAGGAGAAAAATAGAAGATACAGAAAAGAGCAAAGTGTGCCATAGCCAATTTGGCCCAGTGATTAGAGCTTCAGATTGTGGACTCAAGAGTTCTGGGTTCGATTCCAGTCAAAGGCCTATGCCTGGGTTGCTGTCTTGATCCCCAGTGGGGGCACTCTGGAGGCAGCCAATCAGTGATTCTCTCTCATCATTGATGCTTCTATTTCTCTTTCCCTCTCCCTTTTTCTCTGAAATAAAAATATATATTGAAAAAAAAAAAAAGAGCAAAGTGGAACTTCTAGAAATAAAAGATCCTGTATAATAAAAGGCTAATCTGTAAATTGACCAAATGGTGGAAGAACCAGTTGCTATGATGTACACTAATCACCAGGGGGAGATGCTTAATGCAGGAGCTGCCCCCTGGTGGTCAGTGTGCTCCCACAGGGGGGCGCCACTCAGCCAGAAGCTCTGAGGTGGGCTCACAGCTGGTGAATAGCTGTTGTGGCGGGAGCTTCTCCTACATTTGTGGCAACGCTAAGGATGTCAGGGAGCAGGCCTAAGCTGTCAGTTGGACATCCCCTGAGAGCTCCCAGACTGTGAGAGGGTGTAAGGCTGGGCCCCTACCCCCTTGCCTAGTGCACGACTTATGTGCACCAGGCCTCTAGTTTATATATAGTACTTTGAATTTCAGTATTGTGCTCTGGAAACAACAGTTGCTGACTTCACAATATAGCTGGATATTTTAATGTATTTTTATAAAGTTAACTATTAAAGGGTGATATTTTGATAATAACTTGCAGTAAGAAGAATAAACACCTGTTTGTTTCCATCATATTTTTTGTTTTTATTTAATTTGTTATTATTTTTTGAATCTTTATTATTGAAAAAATTTTTGTTTCTAAATCTAGATGATCTTGACCACTTTTCTTTGGCAAAATATTTGATGGTTTTGCTGCAGTAATTTAAAACAATAACCATAATAAAAACACACACACACAAAACTATTAACACCAATAGCATGCTATTTACAATAATGGATGCATAATTTTGATTATGAAAATTATCTCTTTTTTTTAGATATTATTTTTCTTCAGGGAACTGAAGTCATATTTAAGGTTGCACTTAGCCTGCTGAGCAGTCAAGAAACACTTATAATGGAATGTGAAAGCTTCGAAAATATTGTTGAATTTCTTAAAAGCACGCTACCTGATATGAATACATCTGAAATGGAAAAAATTATCACCCAGGTATGCTTTACAACATGATAGTAATAAGATACAAGATTATAAAGCAATTTCCTCTACTAATTATATATTAAATGTTTTAGCATAAAGATATAGTTTTGCTTGACAGATGTTTTTTATTTGATCAGCTATATTTTATTTAGAAATGAAACGTGAAATTTCCATATTATGACATTTTCTGTGTGACTATTTTATAACTGCCAATTTGTACTGCTTAACCCCTTCACCTTTGGCACCTTGAAATTTAAAACCTTTCAAACTACCTCTTACACATCTCCCTTTGCTTATATATACATACTAGAGGCCCGGTGCTCGAAATTTGTGCATGGGGTAGGGGGTGTACCTCAGCCCAGCCTGCACCCTCTCCAATCTGGGACATCCCTCTCACAACCCAGGACTGCTGGCTCCCAACTGCTTGCCTGCCTGTTGTCCTGATTGCCCCTAACCGCTTCTGCCTGCCAGCCTGATCACCCCCTAACCACTCCCATGCCAGCCTGATTGATGTCTAACTGCTCCCCTGCCAACCTGTTTGCCCCTAACTTCTCTCCTCTACTGACCTGGCCACCCCTAACTGCCCTCCCCTGCAAGGCTGATCACCTCCAATTGCCCTCCCTTGCAGACCTGGTCCCTCTCAACTTCCCTCCCTTGCAGACTTTGTCCCTCTCAACTGCCCTCCCTTGCAAGGCCTGGTGTCTCCCAACTGCCTTCCCCTGCTGGCCATCTTGTGGTGGCCATCTTGTTTCCACATGGGGGCAGGATCTTTGACCACATGGGGGCAGCTATTGTGTGTTGCAGTGTTGGTCAATCTGCATATTACTCTTTTATTAGATAGGATAGAGGCCTAGTGCATGGTGGGGGCCAGTTCCTTTACCCTGAAGGCTGTCCTGGATCAGGGTGGGGGCTCCCTTGGGGCGTGGGTGGCCATGGCTTAGCAAATGGATCAGAATGTGTAGTATACAACCTTTCTGCCCCATTGACAAAAAATTAGAAGAGCTTTGGGTGTCATTATTATAGAAATACTCTATGCAATTATTATAGAAATACTCTATGCAGTATTATAGAAATACTCTTTACTGATCAACAAAGATGATTTCTAACATAGATAGGAGATACTCAATAACTACCTGGTATGTTGCATGTTGGGAGTGCTGTGGGGTTACAAATGCACATATACATCGAAATATCACTTGAGAGAGGAAATGTACACTCACAAAAGAGTTACTAGATTGTGTATATTTTGGTTACCAGATATCTTTAAACATTAACTTATTATAGTCTTGGCCTCATGATGACATTGTTTCATGTATATAGAAATAATTTATATTTCTTTACATTGACATTCCTACTATTCCATACTATTCCTCATTAATAACTATTTGGACATCTCTATGAAATACACCAGCTACACAGGCTGCATATCAGTATACATACTGAAGACCAGACTAACCCGTGGCGTTTTCATGGCAGGTTTTTGAGATGGACATTTCCAAACAGTTGCATGCCTATGAGGTGGAGTATCACGTGCTGCAGGATGAGTTGCAGGAATCGTCCTATGCATGTGAGGACAGTGAGCCTGTGGAGAAGCTGGAGAGGGCCAACAACCAACTGAAAAGGCAAAACATGGACCTCCTAGAAAAATTGCAGGTAAAGAGATAAAAATTTGACCAAAAACAAACAAACAAGCAAACAAAAACAAAAAACACCCCCACAAAAACCGCTTGAATGCCTCCTGCTTGAACAGGCTATACTGGAATAATAGGGATGTGACATGGATTGAACCATTGCTGATGATGGACCACAGTGTGTCCAACTATGTCCAAGTGCTGTGGGGTTACAAATGCACATATACATCGAAATATCACTTGAGAGAGGAAATGTACACTCACAAAAGAGTTAAATGCCAACTCAAAGTAGAATCTGGTTAACTACCTTATGGGTGTTGCACATACAGGGTGGAGCCAAAGTAGTTTTATGGTTGCTTGTATAGAAATGAATACAATAAATAATAATACAAGAACAAACTGTGTTTTGTGTACTCACAACTATAAACCTATTTTGCCCCACCTTGTATTTGGTTAAATTCAAGGAAGGAGAGGTTGCGTGTGGGAAACTGGGAATGTTCTAGGGAACTTGGGGCTTGAGCCAACTCTGAATGGTTAGTGGAAGGAGCGAGTGAGGAGTGGAGGGGTTGGCATAAATAAAGAGGATTTGGCACAGCAGCAGAGTATGCTTGGTGTCAGTTTATGGTTTATGTTGAGGAGCGATGAGTTAAACACAATGGAATTGTGGATAACTCTCCATGTGAAACAGAAGAGCATGGCTTTCAGCCTGTTGAGAGGGAAACGTTTTCCAGCTGTTTGAGCCATTCTTTAGAAGGTGATGTAGATTAGAATGGGAAGAGAAGGTGGGAGACCATCTAGAAAACATTTGCACAATTCTGATTGGAGATGAGAATTGTCTAGAGTAAAACTCACAGAAATGGAAAGAATAAGAGACATGTTTGAAAGAATGGGATGACAATATGTAATGCATAATCCCTGCCATCAAGAAATTGACAATTACTAGGGAATACAAAATTATATATATCCTATATAATAAAAAGCAAATATGCAAATTGACTGAAAGGCAGTAGCTATAACATGCACTGACCACCAGGAGGCAGACACTCAATGCAGGAGATGCCCCCTGGTGGCCAGTGCACTCCCATAGGGGGAGCGCTGCTCAGCCAGAGTCTGGGCTCACAACTGGCGAGCGCAGTGGTGGCAGGAGCCTCTCCCACCTCCGTGGCAGCGCTATGGTTGTTCAACTCTTGGCTTAGGCCCTGAGGGCTCCCAGATTGCGAGAGAGTGCAGGCCAGGTTGAAGGACACCCCTTCCCCCCACCTGAGTGTACAAATTTCATGTGCCAGGCCTCTAATTTATAAAGAAATGCATACTTACAACCGCAATGAGCAATTCAATGAAAATTAAAGTTGAACATTGGCAGTTATATAATGGTGCTGTGTATTCAAGCCCAGAGGGGTGGGGCTTAAGAGTGTTCAGTAGAGGGGAGGTTAGAGGGCAAACCTTCTGGGGGCCGGGAGTTGAGTTCTGAGTTAGAGCTTCAGTGCCTAATGGCTCCTTGCTTTCGGCTTATCCCTCACTTCCCAACACTGCACCTGTCCCCACACTACAGACCACTACAGTCGGCTTCTATGTGGTGAACCTCTGGACCAACTAGAGAACCAGTGGATGCTAGAGTAACTGCTCCCCAAGGAGAAGAACACTAACTTCCTTTACTTCATCTTATGCCTTTTCTTATTAAAAAAAAAAAAAAGAGCCAACTCGTTTGTTTTTGAAAAGAAAAATAAACAGTTGGGGTGTTGTTCATGATTACAAGGATATTTCAACAATAGTTAATTGAGTATGTCTACATGCATTTGAGTCTGCTTAGGCATTACCTTAAACATGCCTGAGGAGAAAGCAAGGTTGAGGTGTGTTTGCACCTGCTTTATATTATAGTGATTTTTATTAATGGTAACAAACTTTTTCATTGACAGTTCATGTTGTCATCTGGTTACCTGGGTACCGCTAACACTCATAAAAACTGATAGGATTCTAAGTGCGTTTAGAAAACCCTGCATGTCCATTTTCAGGGTAAAAAGTCCCTTTTAGGTCCTCAAGGCAGTCAGGAATCTCCTGTTTCTCCATCAGATCCCACTCGTTCTGCGGGAGCACTAATGTATGGAGTGAGGACCTTCCCCAACTTGGACTGATGACAATGTTACAATTTTGGTGTGTACAGTAAAATGAGATGTATTTTGTTTATACCATAATTATATTTTTTGAGAAACCTATTAAGTCTCCATTTCATGAAAGGTTTCAGAGTATTTGGTTCACATACTATTTTATAAGTCATAAGAGGCCTGGTGCATGAATTCATGCATGGGTGGGGTTCTTCGGCTTGGCCAGCGATCTGGGGCTTCTCACCCAGTCCTGATCAAGGCCCATTGGGGAGGTTGGCTATGGGAGAGCACTGACCACCAGGGGGAAGCTCCTGCATTGAGCATATGCCCCCTGGTGGTCCGTGCATGTCATAGCAACTGGTTGTTCAGTTGACGGGTTGTAATGGTCGCTTAGGCTTTTATATATATATAGATATGATAGGATTGCTTAATATACATAAGGTCTGGCTGCTGCTACAATGAAAAACTAGAGTCTTCACATGTTTCATTTGGAGGATTTTTATTTTGTCTCTCCCTCTTTCTCCCCCCACAACAGATAGCTCATGCTAAAATCCAGACCTTGGAATCTAACCTGGAAAGTCTTTTGACCAGAGAGACCAAAATGAAGTCTTTAGTCCGGACACTGGAGCAGGAGAAGATGGCTTATCAGAAGACAGTGGAGCAGATCCGGAAGCTGCTGCCGGCCGATGCCCTAGCCGACTGTGAGGCGCTGCTCAGAGACCTGACCTGCAACCCCAACCACAAGGCCAAGGCCGGGGGCAAGGCCTAGCCAGGCTCTGAGGATGCTGTGGACAGTCTGTGAGCTGCGGGCCATGCTGGGCAAGGCACCAAGGGTGGACCATGTCCCGGCTGAGCCCCAGCCCCAGTTCGAGCCCCAGCCAGTGGCCTCGCTATCCCTAGAGTTTGCCAATCCTAAGCCATGGAGCACAGGCAGACTAATGCCTGTGGTTGTAGACTATGTACATATAAAAAACGGACATCAAGAATTCACGCTTTGGGACAAAAGGAGTCCTTGTATATTCAGAGCAATTTTTAAAATCAAAACTTCATGAGATCCATACCATGAAGTTCCCCTTAGACACCTGCGGGATCATCTCATCTTTGCAGTGAAACAAAGCTAGCGAATCTTTGTCTATTGACATATACTTGAAAAAAATGAATGTATTTTTTTCTCCAAAGAACATCATGTTTCACGCAGTGGTGTGTGAGTGTGTGTGGGGGAAACATTTGTGTGACTTGATGTGTGTCTGTCTATCCCAGGAAGATGGCTGATTGTCAGTCACGCTCCTGTGGTTTTCCCAGGAAAAAATTTGGGGGACCTTTCTCCCCCGCCTGCTTTGTGCCAACCGCATGTTAGTCTACATGCATTTTGAGGCTGCTTAGGCAGTACCTTCACGTGCCTGAAAAGGCCAGGCTGAGTCTACCTGCCCGGTTCCCGGTGGAAGAGAACGTTGCTAATTTTCTAGCAAATCAGACCAGCATTGCAACTCAAACTAAAAAATATCAGGTCTCCGAGTTTTACCTGGGGACTTGCACAGTCTCCCCCCCCCCCTTTTATTTAAATCACTCCCACATTCATCTCCCCTTTACTTGGTGCCGCAGTGGTGTCAGGATTTGCCATTTCCCCACCAACACGTGGGAGCTGTTACTTCTCTCTACCTTAAATGAAGGACAAGGCAGTGCAATCACGATTGGTTTGCTAAAGATGACAGGCTACGCTCAGACACTTTATTTGGACAAGTGATAGAATGTAATCAGCTCGCAGTCACCGCCCCCTTTCATGTGAACGTGTGTGAGAACCGTGAAATGTGTAAAACGAGCTGACGAAGTGTGTTGGAAGGAAAGGGGAAACGCACTCCTCTGCGTTGGGACGCCCGGCTTTCTCAGCCACGGATTTTGCATAAGAAGACGTTCTCATGTGCCCGGTGCATGGAAGGGAAGCGGTGTTTAAAGCACACCGGCCGTTCTCCGTTTCAGAGAAGATTCTGTGATGGTGCCTCTGGGAAGTGGGTGCCTTTTTGCCTTTCCAAACAGCATTGATGATTCCTGCTATTGGCAGTACTAACATTATCACAGATGGGTGGTCTGGGATAATTTTCTTCAAAGGGAGTTTGGTGTGTACACAAGCTACACTGTCTCATAGAGTAGAAGAGTCAAGCTCTAAAGGTTTTGGACAACCTTGATGAGCAGACGTAAAGCCCCCTTCTACACCGTGACCCAGGATAATTGTGCTGGCTCATGTTACCAATCAGCATGCTCTCTAACGCAGGCAGTTCCTCACAAGAAAACGAAATCTTAGTAGTCGAGGTAATGTCTAGGTTCTAGGAAATGCTGATTCTATATACCCTATTCAATTGGGGCCACCAATTGATTGTCTGCTTGAATTTCCCCCAAATTTCTCTACTTGAAGGAGAGATTTTTTTTTTTCTTATGAAGGGTATGAGAAATATCCTTCTGTTACTCTCTGCTGATGAAAATTGTCTGATGTGTGTGAGAGCCAAGGAATTTTCAAGTTGGGTAGATAAACTTTTGTTCTATTTAAACAAGTGAATTTTACTCCGGATGTTCAGAGGCAGCGACACAAGTTGTATTGCGGTGTTCAGAGATTGAGGTGTCTTGGATACAATATTTCTCTTGAAAATGAATTTCCTTTTCTTTTGTGATTTTGTAAACGTCGCATCAATTATGCTTCACGCGTTGTTACACCTTCATCACCTCTGCATCGGGTATATGTAATGTCTAGTTCATTTCCAATAAATGCATCGCTTCCGTTTCCTTGACTTACTTGTTTTACTTTTGTTTGCAATAGAAGAGAAGAAGCTCTTGGTTAGAATCCTTTACAGAATGTTGCTACTTAAAATTGGTTCACTGATAACTGATAACAGGGACAACAAAGAAAATTTTTAGGAACATGTATGAAAGTACCTTGCTGGTTACCAATTTTCAACTTCTTGTCCATTGGAGCCTTTGGCTGATGTAGATAAAAAGAAAAGGTCAACTACACTGACAGATTTGCATTCTATACTTTTGTTGTCTATGCTCATAAGTAGCAAGGGGGAGAGAGAAAAAGTGCATTTAAAAAATACTATTTTTATTGATTTTAGAAAAGGGAGAGGAAGAGAGCGATAGAAACATCAATGATGAGAGAGAATCATTGATCAGTTGCCTTTTGCATATTCCCTACTGGGAATTGAACCTGCAACCCAGGCATATGCCCTTGACCGGAATCGAACCTGGGACCCTTCAGTCCTTAGGCCGATGCTCAATCCACTGAGCAAATCAGGTAGGGCAAGAAAGTACATTTTTTAATTGGATCAACTTCCAAATAAGAATTAAGGCACTTATTGTAGGATATGATATGAATGTGTTTACATAAAATAAATGGGAGACATCTGTAATAGTATCAACAATACAAATTATACATTAAAAATATCTTCAGAGTATCCTCAAATATATTTGAAATCTAAAAAAATAATATTATATCTTATTGTTAATATTAGGACTAAAACCTAAGTATTTTGCACTACATATAGTAGTTAAATATTTTGAATGTCAGCAAGAGAATCAATAGGGAGACGTGTGTGTGTGTGTGTCTGTGTGTGTGTGTGTGTGTGTGTGCGATGGGCGGGGGCGTGGGGGTGAAGGGAGGAAGGGAGGAAGGCAGGAGAACAGGAACTGTTAGCCAGACTTTGGCATGCCTTCATGAACTATTCTTTAAAACACTATTACCTCTGTGGTGACTGATTCAGTCTATGGCAGCTTGTGAACCTGTAGTTCACATAGTATTTTCTAACAACAATACTCGAGTTATGTATATACAACGAGGAAGACCGCCTAAAACAAAGGGGTGTTTCCCAAAAGACCTTGTCTGAGAGCAGTCACCCAGCAGAGACTGGGACGGGGGGAAGCCCCAAAAGCCCTCTTCACTCATGTTGACTTTCTGATGACTACTCATCAGCAATCACCCCTTATCTCAGCAACAGAAATTTGTACTTGACTTCAAGTCGGAGATAGCCAAGGCATTGAAAGTGTGGCTGTGATGAATTTAATTAAATATTTCCAATTCTGTTGGATTTAGTCTTTAAACTTTATGGAAGTACTTATATACTAGTAATTGGCCAGTTCCCTCCAGTCATGTGTTGGCCCTATGATTTTGGGCTTGTTTTCTCTCATGTGTATGTGCTGAATAATGAATGGGAAAATCTAATCTTGAAATAGGTTTGTGTCTATATTTTTAAAAGATTATTAGTTTTAATATACAAAGCATATAGGGATTTATTGAATCATAGCTTGGCATATTGCTGAATTTGCCACAAGATGGCACTATTGTTTCGACTTATCTTTATTTGGAATTGTATCAAGGGACAGCAAAGCTACCTGAACAAATGTAGTTCACCACTTTGTTTTCAGGTAAAGTATCTCCAATATAGAAAAATCTGGCTTATTTAGAAATGCCTTTGGGGAAAGTATTTAAATCTCCCTTAGCAACATCCTTAAAACTTAATTCTCTTTATTGTCAAGAAACGATTTTATAGAACGTATATTTTTAATACTCCTGGTTAAACACATTTTTTCCTCTGTTCTCAATGAAGATGTAGAAAAACAGACCATCTTCTTATACATAAAAGTCTCTCATATAAAGAAGACTCATATAAAATTACATCTTTTTTTCCCCTTAAGGCAAAAATAATAAAGTTTCATTTAAGTTTTCATCACATTTCTTCACCATTCCTTTTGCCTAGGTTTTTTTTTTTTTTTTTTTTTTTTTTTTTTTTTTTTTTTATGAAATCTGGAATCCAAAATACTCCAAGGACTTTGGATTTCTGTTCATGGCTGATTTGCTTGTTAGATTTCCAACATTTTATCCATACAACCTAACAATAGTTTCTTGGATTCTCAGACAAACACAGAGAATAAAGCTCTTTTTGGTTGAAATCACTATACTTCATCCTGATACTGATCATAGAGTAGAGTAGACAGGTGTTCATCAATTCTAACTTGTCCCAGCCAAACAGTTCTTGAAAACACCATGCCCTTTTCTACCCCCAGACCTTGCTATTTCCTTTAGTGGGGTTGATGGCCACGTCTGCATCCTGTGCTGCTTCCTTTTGCCTCACTTCCACACATCTTCACACACTGGTTAAACGTCATTCCCTCAGGAGTCGCTCCATGAGCCTGCCACCCAGCCTCTGCTGCCTGCAGACCATGTCACGGACCCCAGAATAGTCTTCCTCAACACCTTGCACTTCTCTTTTGTAGAATTTTGCACACATGTCATTATTTGTGAACACTTGTTTAATGTCTCTTCTCTCCTCCCTCCATTAGACTATTAAGTTAGTGATAAGGTCCATTTGTTTTCCCCACCCTCCTGCAAAGAGCCCCAACACTTGACTGGTTTACAGCAGGCACATGGTGGGAACTCAGCTGGCCTATTTTGACCAATGGACTGATTTTGAACTTCTTTTGCATTCTTTCCTTTTCCAGAGAGATAATGGTTCTTAGTAGGGCAATTATCAGGAATCAGGAGACAGACAGGAGCGTGGCTTATTAAGACATCTGAGAGAAAAGTCAGGGATGTAAATGGGGAGGAGGAGAGTGACACACAGCAGTTTGATGAGGAAAGAAAAGCCAGATTTTAAATTTGGTAGCATGGGCAATTCAAACTACCGATGGGTCTTTAAAGAGGGAAATGGCACGATCAGATGGTTGCAATTCACCAGGAGTGTTGATTGGCTCATGAGGACAAAGACCATTTGTGCTGATGATCTT